TTAACAAATTCGGTAATTCGTGACATAACTACTCTTAACAGTAAATTGTTTCACGTCAATGTTTTTGGTGGCAAGAACTTAACGTTTGATCATTTTACCATTAAAGCCCCAGGAAATAGTCCCAACACAGATGGAATTCATATTGCAAAAATAATTGATGTTACAGTTAAAGATTCTAAAATTGCAACCGGAGATGATTGCATATCAATTGGGGACGGGTTAGAGAACCTGAAAATCACAGGTGTGACATGTGGGCCTGGACACGGCATCAGTGTGGGTAGCCTTGGCAGATCTCCGGGTGAACAGCCAGTGAAGGGCTTGTTTGTTAAAGACTCTAAATTTATTGGTACAGATAATGGTGTTAGAATTAAAACATGGCCGAATTCTCATCCTGGAATTGTAACAGATATTCATTTTGAGAATATAGACATGGAAAATGTCAAAAACCCAATTGTAATTGATCAAGAATACTGCCCGCATAACAAATGCTCAAAGGAGGTATGTAACAAGTTAACATAGTTTTCCTAATATTTCCTTGATGATAGGATGATTTTATTAAAACATAGCTTGTTTTATTTTTATTTGTAGAAACCATCACTAGTAAAGATCAGCAAAGTAAGTTATAAGAACATAAAAGGTACTTCTGCAACAAAGGAAGCAGTGATCCTTGCATGTAGCAGTGGGGTGCCATGTGATGGAGTTGAAATTGGTGATATTAATTTGACATTTAAAGGAGGTGCAGCAAAATCTGTTTGTAAGAATGTGAAGCCTATGCTAACAGGAAAGCAGGTTCCCGCAGTGATTTGCAAATGAGAAATTTTTGTACGAGCATAGTCATAGTTTGTTGGATAGAAATAAACAATTTTGTGTAGCTTGTGGCAAAGGCCATCCAATCCTTGATTGTTTGGAAATTTGTCAATTGAGTATTAATTACTGACAAAAATTAGCAATTTTTCATTATATTTTATTATGACAACATTAGCGTCACTATAATTTTATTTATTTATTCTGGTATATGTTGGCTGAAGAATTATCAATTGGTAACAAATAATGTTGAAATAGTTGGTTAATTTATTGTGACAATTTCATGGTCACACAAAGGGCTATTTATTTTCAAAGAATGGTATTAATTCAAAAATAGTACTTTGTGACGGTCTATTTATTATGACAAAATATTGTAAAAATAATTTTTCGGTTGTGACAAAACTAATAACCACTATCGTGATTAAATAAACACGAAGAATTTTTAAAATCATGAATTTATTCAAAATGCTAAAGCTCATATATAAAAAAAATAACTTTAATATGGAAAACACAATTGTATTTTTTTAATTGTCAACATCTTCTTCAGTTCTTCTGTTTTTTTTTTTTTTTTTTTTTTTTTTTTTTTTTTAAATTTAAATCTTGCAACTATAATAATATAATGGTAATTTTGGAAACCCAAAAAACATGACTTCACTACTACAAAAACTAGAGGGCAAAAATTTGTGCGAGACCGTCTCACGGATCTCAAGTGAGACGAGTCAAATCTTTGATTAATGAGGTCAAAGATCCACTTCATTAGTTAAATATCTAACTCGTCTCATGGATTGAGACCCGTGAGACGGTCTTAGCTCACACAAGTGTTACCCAAGCCGGAGATATTACCCGTTATTAAAAAATACTATCATCAAGAAACACTTCTCTATCAATATTTGTACTTCTCTATCAATATTTGTTTAAGTAAATGAAACAACGTTGATTATTATCAAATAAGTATGTTTAAGTAAATGAAACAACGTTGATTATTATCAAATAAGTATATTTTGTTTGGAATGATACTGGCTTTATTATAATGTAGTATTATAAGTATATTTTGTTTGGAATGATACCTACTGAAACATAAAGAATCAATAACGCTTCCACTGAGGCTCAAACTCACAACTTTTTAAATGAAAGTCCAACCCGGGTACCATTAAATCATATAATCTTGGTTAATAAGTATATTTTAATTGTTATATTAAACAATATGACTTCGTTTGGAAAATCAATGCTGAATCATTATATATAATTTTTATGTCCTTAAAAAATTAAAATAAAAAAAAACTATTTAATACGAAGTCAATTTTTTCAAAAAAAAAAAAAAAAAGAAACTTATGCGGTATTGTTAAATATATTTATTTATTTATTTTTTTTACCAAGTGGTTTGTAATCCACTAGTATCTGATTGGCCCTTTATGTGGGATGTCTTAGGTTCAAGCCTTGGTGAAGGCATAAAAAAAATATATTTATTTTTTATATTCAAAGATAGAATATTGGTGGTTTTCAAAACCGATGGGAACATGTGTATTTAGAACATGTGTATTTAGACCCCTCAATCCTCTTTTACTTTCGATGTTTAGTATCTTTCATGTAGATTAAATGTAGACTGTGCTCAAAGCATAATTCGTGCTTAACTAAGCAAATACACGAATCAGAGCACTTCTCAGTAAATCATAACAGGCTGAAGAGAAGACGTACAAAAGAAGACCGAGAGATCAGCTTAGACTGAAACTTGGAAGGGTCTATCTCTCGTGTAACTGTCAAATGATAAAGAAAGATCATTTGAACAGAGAAGTTAACGAATGATAAAGACAATCTTTCGTTATTCAGGATCCGAGACTACAAGTCAAAGTCTAACTTGATTGGACAAGTCTCATATGTTTTCAGAAGCATATTTGTCCAAGTCTCAAAGCTGGGAAAATCATCCTAGACAAATGATGTCCTAGGTATGATATTTCAAATATCATGGAGCATTTAATGATTGGTACCTTTAGTATGCACAAAATGACAAAATGGTTGGTTGCTTTTTGAAGCCAACGGCTATACAGTACAGTCGCATTTAAGTCTCCTTACCTAGCAGTCATTACATGCTGGTTAATAGGTTTGAAATTTTCATCTCTCTCTATTGAATGGATTTTTCACCCCTATAAATACCCATCTTCATCACTTGAAGAAGGTGCTGGTTTTTATCACTCTATTGCTATCAGAAAAGCTTTCAAAAACTCTCAAGTTACTAGCTTTCATAACCAACGTGTGTTTGTGAAGACTCTTCTAAAAGATCATCTAGTTATCTAAGTCTTCACAACATCAAGGAAATCTTGCAGTTCATACGACGATCAAACTATCATCAAGTCAAGATTTCACGTTGGAGATAACATCAATCCTTTCCAACACTCAACTCGGTAGAAGTTGATAGAGGCGGAGTAAACTCGGAGGAGTTGAAAAACCTAGCAAGTTGATGTCCGGCTTAGTGATCAAGGAAGCAAGCTTGGCTTAGTTTGCACTAGGAGTGATAGTGCAAACCCTTTCACGAGTAGTGAAAGAAAAGTGGAGTAGGCTTAGTTAACAGCCGAACCACTATAAAATTCTCTCGCTCTCTCTCTCTCGTTACTTATCTTCATTTAACTGCCATACATTACATTGCACCATATTCATTTCAGTTAAACAATTTCTAACGAAAGTGTGCAAAGAAAACTAAAAAGATCACATATTTTCTGATGTGCATAACTCTTTCAAGTAAAGTTTTAAAAATCGCATAGAGTCTACTCACCCCCCCCCCCTCCCCTCCCCTCCCCTCCCCTCCTAGACTCTCATTCTTCGGTATCGGGACCAACAATGTCGTATTTCACATCTAAAGATACAACGTTGGTTTTTCAGAACAAACTGATGTCGTAGTATTTTATACTTATTATTTTTATTATATTAAGACTAGATTTAATTTTAATTTTTTTAATTTTTAATTTTTTTTTATTTTTAGAAACATTTTAAGTTACAATGGCGGTTTTGTAGTAAAAACAGTTGTCTTATTTTTAATAAGTTTTATAAAAATAAAAATTTTACAACATCAGTATTTTTTAACCTCCTATGCTGAAATTTTCAATTTTTATTTTTTTAGAAATTTTTAAATTATTGTGAAATTCAGGTATTATTGTAAATTATTGTTGTGATATTTTGCGATTTTTAAAATAAATTTGGATTATAGTCTACGGATTGTCTTATATCCGACCTGAACCGACCAAAGTGTAGCACATGGCTGACTCGGCCTGAAGGACTATCGACCTTGTGGCTTGATGAACCATTACCCTAACCTTTCTTTGTCGGTCTCGACCTATTTGCTCGTCCGAGACCCCGAGCACGTATACTTAGCGTCCAAGCTAATCCCAATAGGCAATTGGTTAGTTAGATCCGACCGGGTTACCGAGTGCATGGAGGGCATGTGGCGCACAAGCCGGCCCCCTCGAATTCCCTATAAGTACCCCACGAGGCGACACAGTAAAGTGGACTTTTGGCAATTTCTCTATAGCTCACCTTAGCTCATGAACCTCTAGCCTCACGCCACCTACCCATAAATACTTAAACCAACAAGCAGACCACATAAGGGTCTAAACCCAATCCGATCTTGTATCTCGTAGTTATTTAAATATAAACATTAGGCATTAGCAATCCGAAAGTAAAACTAGTTAAAAAAATAAATGAATACATCTCACGACAATTTGTACATAAAAGTCATAGTAAAGGTTTTTTTAAAATTAATCTAGAAATTTTATTTAACAAAGAAATCAGTGAAAATCAAATTAAATGATGATTGAATATTTTAAAACTTAAAAGTTGATAATCAAATCAAACTTGTCCTTACCCATAATCTACCACCCAGAAACCAATTAAATTGTCTATGCGAGCGTAAGTCAATTACTTGCTGAATTAATTGATCCAAATTATTAAAGCCATCTTGATGACGAAAAAAGAATGTATACCACACTCTATGCTGCTTGAGGTTACAAAGCTCATAATTAACACCTTCGCGAAGAAGCAAATCAGTTTTTCTACTGTTTCTAGTTTTTATTTTACTTACTAAATTTTTTACATTTATTCCATTTCAAAAACTCAAAATATTTCTCATAAGGAATGGATTCAAATCAAAACCTTCACTTCATTAAAAAAAAAACAAAAAAAACAAAAAAAAAAAAAAAACAACAACAAAAAAATATTACAAGTAAAGATAAATTGTCTACTACTCTACTCACACATTTTAGCTAGTAAGCATCTTAGCCAGACAGCATGGACAACATATTGAACGACAGCCATAACCTACGCGTACTATCCGTTTAATGAAAAGAAATACTCCGTACAAAACAAAACAACACAAAACACAAAAACAATCAAACCCAAAATTTTTCCTCTGATGGGAAACAAATACTAGCTAGTAACTAATTCCTTAATTAATCCGACTTAGGAGCACAAAGAAGGAACTTGCTTTCCACTTAAAACAGGCTTAATATTTGAACATATAGATTCCGCGGGAGCTCCATTGAAGGTCAAGTTAATGTCGCCCACCTCAACATCTTCACATGGCACCGCACTACTGCATTTTAAGGTCACTGCAACTTTTGACGCAGAAGCGCCAAGTATGTGGTTATAGCTTACTTTGCTGATCTTTACTTGTGATGGCTTCTGCAAATTAAAATAAAGCGAGCTAGGTTTTAGTGAGAAAAAAGTATTATAAAATGATGTTTAATTTGACTCATAGTGGTAAAGCTGGGCGGTGTGTACCTCGATTGAGCAATTTTTTTTATTCGGACAGTGTTCTTGATTAATTATAATTGGATTTTTGACATCTTCCATCTCTATATTATTGTAATGTATATCGGTTACTTTTCCAGGCTGAGAATTAGGCAATGTTTTAATTCTAAGACCGTTTTCTGTTCCAATTAATTTGCAGTCCTCCACATGCACACCCTTAACTGGCTCTTCATCAGGGGTATTGCCAAGGCTTCCGACAGTGATGCCACGTCCGGGCCCACATACCAGTCCTTTGATGACAAGGTTTTCTGTCCCATCCATGATTGCTACACAATCGTCTCCCGTTCCTATAAGGCTATTCTGTATGGTGACATCGGGTACTTTTGAAATATAGATCCCAACGGTGTTGTGACTAGTCCCTGGTGCTTTAATAGCAACATGATCGAATGTTATGTTTTTACCGCCCAAAACACTGACATGGAACAGTTTGCTATCTAGAGAAAATATGTTTTTAATCAACGAGTTCGTTACGAAATTGAAGCTCAAATTCTGCATAAAAGGAAAAAATAAGTCAATTTCTGAAAATATATTACATTTAATTGGTTCATTTTCTTGTAAATTAAATTTCATAAATAACATTTGGCATACGTTTGGAAGCTTATCGCAAGATCCAGTATTCTTGCAATCTTCTTGTTCCCAAGTAGCAGTTCCTTGGCCATCAAAAATACCAGCCGAAAGTGTGAAACTATCAACGTTTTTAAGAGTTAACCAATCCTTGGAGCTATCGAAGGTCTTAGGATCAGAAGGGGCTTTTAAGGTGCCCAAAATTTGAAGCTCAATTGGGGCTTTGCATGGACCGACAAGTTCAACTTGGGTCATTGGATATGTGCCTTTCGGGATCACAATGGTGCTTGCCGTTGTTGCCGCACATCCTTCCTTCCAAGCATTCAATAATTCCTATTACATTTCGGTCAAGTTAGCAGAGTTAACCTGGTCGACTCAATTTTGGTAATTTTTTTTCATTATATATAAATACATCCACACACCTGCACTATTTTTTCTTTTTTAATAAGCCGCATAGGCGCCGTCTAGACACTACTCTACCGTCAAACTAACGCTTAGGGCCTATTGCAACACTACTGTAAATTATGGAATTTCCGATCACCTGAAAGTGATCTTAAATCAATTCGAAAGAAAAAAAGTGATCGGAAATAGCTATAAAGATTTTTCCGGACACCAAAAGTGGTCGGAACAAGGCTTTCGACTTGATTTAAGATCATTTTCAGGTAATCGGAAATTTCATAATTTTCAGCAGTGCAACCATAATAATTATTGAAGAACACTTATATTAAAAAAAAATAAAGGTAATTATTTACTTACCGAGGCAATATCTTCATTAGGTTTTGCAGCAACGTTTATTTCTGAACTCTCCCCTGGATATGGCACCAAGAATAACACAAATGGCAAGGCACAAAGAAGTTTTGACCACATTTTCTTTTTGTTTGCCAGTGATTTTTCTAATCCTTTATTGAATTTATTTATTGTTATTATTTTTCTGGCATTTATTACTGAGATCTAAATGTAGGGAGCCTTTTATATCGTACATAATTAAACTACCTCCACCAAAGTAGTGGAAACTCTATAATTTTTCCTATTTTTTATCCATTTTTTAAGACAATTTTTGTTTCTATTCCCATTCTTTGAGGTAGTTCACTAATTTATTGTCCATATACAGGCAGGGTGCCGAGGTTTTTAATAAATTTAGAAAAAAAAAAATCTTCAGTGTTAGTTTGTTCCTTAAATAAAACAAAATAAAAGGGAAGGTGGGGTGGGGGGGGGGGGGGGGGTGACTCTAAATATAGGAACGAAAGCACAAGACACTAATATGAAACAAATACCGATATTTTATTTTATTTTATTTTATTTTTATCACGAGTGAAACCTGCAATTATTATTCGAAACTGTGCTAACTTATATTTCTGTTAATTTGTCTAATAACCTACAAACTATATAGAAGAGGTAAAAGACTTGACTGAAAGAATACGTGTTGACATGAACCAAACTTAGAGCATCCACATTAGTTGGGGAGAATTGGGGGATAATGTAAGAGTGATTAGGAAAGAGAAGATGGGAGGGGAGGGGAGAAAGGAAAAAAAAAAAAGGAAAATGAAATTTAAAAATAAAAATAAAAAAAACTGTAACTGTCAGGCGCGCCCGCTATGCGCTATGATGCAGTGGTGAAAATTTTGACTTTTTGTGGTGGGTCCCATCACTTCTGAAATCTCTCTTCACTTGCAGGACAAATATCTCTCCAAATAACCCTACCCCACATTTATTATTATCCCCTCCCAAGTTTAATGGTCTGACATTAACCCCTCATTCACCACTGGTGTGGATGCTCTTATAACCTTTCGGTACTAAAATGATGCTCAATCTTTTCGACTACCTCTTTCGGGAAAGTTAGGTATGCTTTTTAAATTTTAGGTTGGACAAACCAACTAATTAATTCACTTTTCATGAAATAAAATTTAAAAATAAAACCAATCTCTTACAAAAGTTCTTCTTTCATTACAAGCGTTTGATGATAGCAAAGCCACTTGGCAGCTAATTGGGAGGGAAAGTATTTTTCATAAAGGATCGATTAAAATCAAAATATCATTTTCATAAAAATATTGCAAGTACCAAAAAAAAAAAAAACAAAAAAAAAAAATTCACAACATTTTATGACACAATGATTATGCTTTTCATAAAAACTAGTATTTTCATACGTGCGATGCACAAAATAGATTTGTTATAATATTTTAAGAATATTTGGATCGATATTCAATTATATAAATTATAACATCTAATGTTATATAATACAATTGAACAATTGAGTTATATCCGATTGTATTTTATAATGTTATCATTGTTTAAATTTGAGCAAATAATTGCCCAATTAAGAGTCAATGTGTAGATGTACGCATCCGGTACGGTGATGAAACTTTAGAGATTTTATATATCACTGTTTATGATTTGTATTAAGTGGAAAATTTGCTCATTGTCTAGCAACTCATTTATATAAATCATTTTCTATCCTAATTTATTTGTATGTAAGATATATTTCTGTGTAGATAAATACCAATTTTGTCATCTTCGCATAAAAAGAAAACATAATATCACTGGTTGGAATTATAAATTATTGAAAACCTATTTGTAAACGACATTGGTAGTAGCAACAGAATCTTGTCCACCCTCGTCTAGAACTAACACCTTCAGGCCATCAGGATGGGTGACTCTGGAAAAAAATCACATAAAATTGCCCATTGCCCATTGCCCATTGCATTACTATTTTCCATGGGAAATCAATTAGCTCGGATCCATATGTATCCCATATAATACATATACTATAGTTAATCCGTTTTCTTTTTGAAATAGTTAATAGGGGATCATTTAGAATTTTGAGTCAAATAGTAATATTCATTTCTTTTTTCAATTGGCATCATTTATGTGCCATTTTTAATCATAGTCAGTTATTATTTTTTAATACATATCAATTAGTTAATTATTAATAACAGATTTTGTTTTTAATATTTCTAGTCAATTATTATTTATAGATTATTTTTCCAATTTACCTATAGTATTGTAAATCCGCTTCCTTTCTTTAAATAGTTAATTCGGTCATTTTTAATTTTCTCTATCAATTATTAATATTCATTTCCTTTTTAATTGACATATCATTAACATAGTCATGCAATAACATTGTAACAATCTTCTCTGTACAAAGTATTCTCAAATAGTTTGCTCATTGCATAATTATTCCCTCTGGAAATTAATGAGTTCAGATCCATATGTATCCCATATAATACCTATATTATAGTTATTCCGTTTTTTGTTCGAAATGGTTAATTAGTGATCATTTTTAATTACTAGCCAATTATTAATATTCATTTCTTTTTTCAATTGTCATAATTTTTGTGCCATTTTTCTTATCTCAGTCAATTATTATTTTGTTACTACACACCAATTAAGAGAATATTTCAATTTTGATCATATGACTATATGAGCTTTGTTAATTTCAGCACATGACTCTCAAAAGTGTCAATTTAGTACCTTGACTATGCAATTTTTATCAATTTTGGTCATTCCGATCAAATTGCCTGCCAAATTTCGCCGAAAAATTTTAACAGTTAAAATAATGAGGTTATTTTAGTCATTTCACATCTCTTCAATTATTTTCCCAGACTAAGCTTCTTCCCGGCGGCAACCACTCCACCGATGCCGCCCAAAATCCCATCTTTGAGCACAGTTTCCAGATCCAAAATCTGCGCCACTCCTTCCCCTTATTCATATGCATTTTCTTCCCAAAACTCAGCCCCCAACAACCTTAAATACAGAAAAGAAAAAAAAAAAGAGTCAATCTTGCTCAAAACACAGTACACGAAGCGTGTGGATAAAGAAGAGAGCTTACACTCTTTCGTTCATTGTTATTATTATAATTATAATTATAATTATAATTATTATTGAATAGTTTCATATAAAAGAAAAATATTACACTTGATAAATTATATTTGAACTTACATTGGGTAGCTTGTCACTTTTAAAACCTTTCACTTTAGAAGGATAAACTTGGACATTTCCTTGGCCATCCAAAGTCCCACCACCTGAGAGTGTGAAATGATCTACGTGCCTAACGATTAACCCACTACTGGAAATTATGAAATTTCCGACCACTTGAAAATGATCTTAAATCAAGTCGAAAGCCTTGTTCCGACCACTTTTGGTATCCAGAAAAATCTTTGTTGCTATTTCCGATCACTTTTTAGTATCAACTTAATTTAAGATCACTTTCAGATGGTTAGAAATTCCATAATTTCCAGTAATGACCATTCCTTTTTGCCGTCCATATTTTTAGGATTAGGAGGGGCCTTCAAAATAGTCATAATTTGAAGCTCAACCGGGGCTTTGCATGGACCCGCAAGTTCTACTTGGGTCATTGGGAATGTGCCTTTTGGGATCACAATGGTGCTGACATTTGTGGCCGCACATGCTTCTTTCCAAGCTTTCATCAATAACTGCATCATCATCATCATCATAATAATAATAATAATAATAATAATAATAATAATATAATATAATAACAATAATAATAACAATAATAATAATAATAATAATAATAATAATAATAATAATAATAATAATAATAATAATAATAATAATAATAATAATAATAACAACTCTCATCCACATATTTGCAACCACACAAAAATAGGTAAGGAAAAAGTAAGGAGCATTATTTAACTACTTTTGTGGCATTAGTTTATTAGTTAACAACACTATAAATGCCTCAAAGTTAAGATCTTACATCATTCATCCAAAGTAAAAACAATAATACTAAAATCTAAGCAACAACCATGAAAATGGATACAATAATTTATTGTGTCTTCACATTTGTATTATTCTTATTGGTGCATCTTGGAGAAAGTGCTGAAGTCAAAGTTCCTGCAAAACCTGGTAAAGATGTTGGCCCGGTAAGTAATTTAAATAAATGCTTCTAGGTTCATATATATCATTATATTTTGAGGGGAATATATCATTATATATCACTATATTTGGTTATGAAAAAAAAAATCGTAGGCTTTGTTGAAAGCTTGGGAAAAAGCATGTAAGGCTAAAACTCCCAGTACCCTTGTGATCCCAAAAGGCACATACCCAATGACTCAAGTTCTACTTAAGGGCCCATGCAAAGCCTCATCAATTGAGCTTCAAATCCAGGGTACTTTGAAGGCCCCTCCTAATCCTAACGATATGGAATGCAAAAAAGAATGGATAACTATTAATTACGTAGATCATTTCACACTCTCTGGCGGTGGTACTCTTGATGGTCAAGGAAATGTAAAAGTTTATGCAGCTAAAGAAAAAGGTTTTAAAAGTGATAAGCTGCCTAATGTAAGTCCAAATTTATCTAGTGTAATATTTTTATTTTATATAAAACAATTAAGAACATTTTTTTACGGATTTATTGACTAATATATTTATATTTCTTCTTTTAATTTTTTTTTTTTTTACAGAATTTGAGCTTAAATTTCCTAAAAAATTCAGTTATTCGAGATATAACAACTCTAAACAGTAAATTGTTCCACGTCAATCTTTTTGGTGGAAAGAACGTTACATTTGATCATTTCACTATTAAAGCGCCAGCAGATAGTCCCAATACAGATGGAATTCATATTGCCAAAATAGTTGATGTTACAGTTAAAGATTCTGTTATAGGAACCGGAGACGATTGCATATCCATTGGGGATGGACTAGAAAACCTTAACATCACTGGTGTGACATGTGGGCCGGGACACGGCATTAGTGTGGGAAGCCTTGGCAAGACCCCCGGTGAGGAGCCGGTGAAGGGTGTCTTTGTTAAAGACTGTAAATTTATTGGTACAGATAACGGTGTTAGAATTAAAACATGGCCTAATTCTCATCCTGGAGTCGTAACTGATATTCATTATGAGAATATAACCATGAAAAATGTCAAAAATCCAATTGTGATTGATCAAGAATACTGCCCAAATAACGAATGCTCAAAACAGGTATATAATACCCACATTACCCTACTGTGTAAGTCAACTTAATTTTGCTAAGATTTCCTTGATGATTGGATGATTTTATTAAAACATAGTGTGTTTTATTTTTATTTGTAGAAACCATCAAAAGTAAAGATCAGCAAAGTAAGCTATAAGGACATAAAGGGTACTTCTGCAACAAAGGAAACAGTGATCCTTGCATGTAGCAGTGGGGTGCCATGTGAAGATGTTGAAATTGGTGAAATTGATTTGACCTTCAAAGGGGGTGCTAAAACTATTTGTTCAAATGTGAAACCTAAGCTAACCGGAAAGCAGTGTCCCAAAGTGACTTGCAAATGAGAAATTTTTTGTGAGTTTTTCATACCATTTTTGAAAATTTTTGTGAGAATCATTGATAGTTGGATATAAATAAACAAGTTGTGTAGCTTGTGGCAAAGTCCATCCAATATGCTGCCCATGCATGATTGGTTTAGACATGTATATATAGTAAACATTTTTATAAAAAGCAGATTTTGATTTCAATCAATCCTTTATGAACTATACTTGCCGTAAACTTTCCCTTGTTAAGATTCAGCTTCGAATAATGTATTCAGAATATCCTTAATTACTAATAAGCTACATGCAGTAAACTTTGTTGGGGAAAATTGCAACGTCAATGCGCGATCTGGAAGCCTTTTAAGAAGCACAGACACTATTGGTGTATGGTTGAAAGGAAATCTGTGCCGTGTTATAATAACACTACCAGATCGCGCATTGACGTTGCAATTTTCCCCAACAGTTAAAAGCGTTATTTGCCCGGTAACAGTGCAGTTAGGACCCTAGCACGCTTTTGACAGGCTACACAGACCTACTACGGATAGCTTGTACTAGCAATCACGTAGGCGAACCTCACTATTGCTCAGACGAAAGGAGGAAGAAGGAGAATATATTAAATGACTCGAATTCTAAGGTGTGTTTTGAAACGATGTTGGGAGCTGCTATTTATAGTAAGCAGCCCCCCATCCCTTCCACAAAAGTGGAAGGACGTATACCGTCCACAACCAAGCGCAACATGCGCTGTTCATGAAGTGCGCATGATGAGCTATCCACCCATTCATTTCCACCTTTGAAATTTTCCAACAATCCCCCACAAATTTAAAGAGGAAAGGAAAATGGGTAAGGTCTGAGCAATACAAATGAGTTGATCTTAATGTCAGTGTTTGAGAACTTGAACTGACACGTAGTGACACTGAGTAATCTTCGTTCCGGGAGTGATGTGAATCTTGAATTCACCGGTTAGATAAATTTTGAACTCGAATGCACACACCAACTCAAAAAGCAGGTTTTACAAAAGTCAAACTCTTTGACTTCCTATGAACACCCTTAGTATTAAAGAATGTTACGTCTGTCTCAAATATGGACTTCTACCCTGTCAAAGTCTATCACAAAATAGACTTTTAACTCTGACCGCATTACAAATTTTGAGTAACAATATGCGAACCCTTATAACTAGAGCAAACATAGTTACTCAAAATAACTATTTATTTAAAGAGACTCAATACTCATCTTGCTCTGTCAGATTGACTTTTACTAGTTTTGCCCTTGTGATGGTAGCACTGGTGAGCTCAGTGTCCTTGCTTTCTGCACGCAAAACACCTTCCTCTAAACTTCTTGATTTTTCTACTCTCATGTCATACTTGTGGCTTTCCTATCATTAGATATTTTGATGTTGGAACTCTTAGTTTTTACTACATAAATTAAATAGGAGTATATTCTACACAACTCAGCTGAGCTTCAGTATTTGAATTGAAGTATAATGTTGGATTGTCAACCAAGTGGCATTTATCTATTTCTTATGCATTATAATTTTTATGTTTTCGAGAATATCTATTTTTGTTGAATATTTTATATTTTGATAGCAATTTGTCAAAAATGTTATTTTTATTATTTATTTCTAGTATTTTCACCCGTGCGATGCACGGAATTGATTTCTTGTAATATATTAAAAATATTTGAATTGATATATAATTATTTGATTAAAACGTCAAATATTATATAGTGCAACAAAATATATGGTTTGGATCGTTTGTGTATTTTGATGTTATCATTGCTTGAATTTGTGCAAATAATTACTCACTTGTTTAGTATTTTCATAAATTAAGCAAATGTACGCTCGTTCTCTAACAACTGAGTTATATCCTAATTCATTTGTATGGAAGATATATATTTTTTGTCTAGATATATAACAATTTTTCTTATTTAAAAAAAAAACATAATATCATCACCGATTATATTTACACATTATATAGACAACATTGGTAATCTTGTTCATCCTCGAGAGCTAACACCTTCAATTCATAAGGACGGGTTACTTAGGGTGAAAATATATAATACTCCGTAGTAGAATATCACTCAATTAGCCAATTATTCTTTAGAATATCAAATGCAGTAATATTTTTACCTAATTTTCGTTCATTTTTAATTGATGATGTAGATATTATTATTGAAATATTTCCGTTCTATTTTTAATTTACTTTTACTATTGTTTAAAATATGCATTTACTATTGATGATGTAGAACATTATTATTGAAATATTTTCGTTCAATTTTTAATTTTTGTTCTATTTTTAATTAAAATGCAATGATAAGACCATTTCTTTTTTTATTTTAGTCAATTATGGATCATTTTTTATTTGTAGTCAATTATTAATATTCATCTCCTTTTTATATTTTTAGTCAATTAGTAATATTAGATTCATTTTTAGTCAATTATTCTTTTTTATTTCCAGACAATTAGTCAATTAGAATATAGATGCAGTGATATTTTTATCGAATTTCAGTTCCATTTTTATTTGATGATCTAGAATATTATTATTGAAATATTTCTGTTTCATTTTTAATTTTCGTTTCATTTTTAATTTACCTTTACTATTTTTTCAAATATACATTTACTATTGATGATGTATAATGTTATTATTGAAATATTTTCTTTCAATTTTTTATTTTCCTTTACTTGATGATGTAGAATATTATTATTGAAATATTTCCGTTCTATTTTTAATTTTCGTTTCATTGTTTGAAATTTTGAATGATTTATGATATAATCACTGCAGGAATTTTGTGATTTTTCTACCACATTTCCGACCACCCCAAAATTTGGCTGCAAAAAGTGATTTTTTTCATTTTTGCGACGGAAGGTTGAAAGTGGTCTGGAATTCAAACAACATTTAATAAGTGGTCGGTAATTCCGACCACTTCTTACATGGTGGTCGGAACCGTTTTGCCAAAATAAATTTTTTAAATTAGAGTTTATTTGCGACCACCCTGTCGTCGGAACTTCCGACTACCTTTGGATGGTGGTCGGAAGTGTTTTGGAAGTTTAAATTTATATACTAAACTTGTTTTTGACCACCGGAAATTCTTTTTTTTTTTTTTTTTTTTTTTTTTTTTGGAGTGGTTCAATGGTATGAAGGCCACATGATTTTTTTTAATAATTGATTATTTCACTTATACTAGTTCTAACATTTTTTTCTTTAGTTAGGCAATCTAATTAGACATGTCTGATTTCCTCCCTGATTACTTCTTGCAAATGCATTCAGGCCTTCTCTTTTTTCATTTGTGTCAAAGATGCATGGGACTCTCTTGCAATCTCAGTTTTTTCACAGGTACTTAATACCCTCCTATAATTTTGTAATTTGTTATATGCTTTCATAACCAGATATTGCATAACCTTCATTCTTCTTTTACTCTATTGATGCAAACTCCTATTTAGCTAATGTCTTATTTTACCATGTACCTGATCCTATGATAAACAAGTTGTGTAGCTTGTGGCAAACTCCATCCAATATGCTGCCCATGCATGATTGGTTTAGACATGTATGTATATTAAACATTTTTATAAAAAGCAGATTTTGATTTCAATCAATCCTTTATGAACTATACTTGCCGTAAACTTTCCCTTGTTAAGATTCAGCTTCGAATGTATTCAGAATATCCTTAATTACTTAGCTACATGCAGTAAACTTTCATGTAATACTTGTGGCTTTCCTATCATTAGATATTTTGATGTTGGAACTCTTAGTTTTTACTACATAAATTAAATATATTCTAGACAACTCAGCTGAGCTCCAGTATTTAGTCCATCTTGAAATGTCTAACCATAAATTACTCTAAAAAAAATGATATGTTTAGTTAAAATAAAAACCACAAAGCATACATTCAAAAAAAAAAGAAAAAGAAAAAAAAAACCACAAAGCATTATATTGATTTCGCCACTAACTATAATAAAAATGATTTTTGAACATATGAATTGAAGTATAATGTTGGATTGTCAACCAAGTGGCATTTATCTATTTCTTATGCATTATAATTTTTATGTTTTCGAGAATATCTATTTTTGTTGAATATTTTATATTTTGATAGCATTGTCAAAAAAGTTATTTTTATTATTTATTATTTATTTTTTGCAATTATTAAAAATTAGGTCCAATTATATATTTATGATCAACCCTGGTGACACTGAAATGATTATTTAAGTAACAATAACATATGTAACAAGAAGTTTAAATACTTGTGACAAGATTATTTTACTCACATATTAATTACTTACGATTTTCCTTGTTTTTCGAAAATTTTTCAGCTCAAAAAGTATTTAATTGTTGGCAAAAGTACTCTCAGCAATACTTCATTTTATTGTGACAACATTAGCTTCATTATAATTTTATTTACTTGTTATTATATATGTTGACAAAAAATGTTGTAATAGTTTATTAATTTATTGCGACAATGTCATGGCTACAGTATGTTTATTTAGTCGTGACAAATGGTATTAATAATTCAAAATTGTAATTGTAATTATTGGCCAGTAAAATCACACTGGTGTGTCTATTTAATGTGACAAAATATTGTCACAATAATTTTGCTTCTTGTGACAAATAGAGATAACACTACTGAAAATTATAGAATTTCCGACCACCTAAAAATGATTTTAAATTAAGTTGATACCAAAAAGTCTAAAAAGTGGTCGGAAATAGCAATAAAGGTTTTTCCGGATACCAAAAATGGTCGGAACAAGGCTTTTGACTTGATTTAAGATCACTTTCAGGTGGTCGGAAATTACATAATTTCCAGTAGTGTAACCACAGTTTGGTTCGAATTGTCCGGTTCAAACCGAACTGTACATTGTAAAAATCAAATTGGAACCGAACTGTGTAGTACGGTTCCAGTTCAGGTTCCAAACCAGGAAAAAAAATAGAATAAGAAAAAGAAAACAATGCTACATACTAACTCTTAAAAAATATAATATAACATAAAAGAGGAATCTTATTGAAATTTCGATTAGATACGTAGACAACTTAAATAATCTTGGTAAAATTGAGTGTA